GGGTTAAAGCACTTGCCTTGCATGTCGCCAACCCAAGTTCAATCTCTGGCACCACATATGGTCCCCTGAGCCTCACCAGCAGTGATCCCTGAGCACGAGCCAGTTCTGAATCCTGAGCATCTTTGCGCCAAAAGCCAAAAATCAAAAAATTGTGTTAAGGTCAGGAGAGGATCTCAAGTGGTGGAGCAGGTTTCTGACACATGGGAGCTCAGGTTGACTTTAGGTTGACCTTGCTTGAGGCCATGTGCCTGCCACAGAGCTGCCAGCCTCAGGGGCTTCTTGAAAGACAGGACCCATGCACTCCTCTGCTCTCTGTTCTTCTGCTTAATACTGGTCCCCAGCATCACCAGCGACTGCAGTCCTGTTCTCAGACTGGAACGACCCGGGGTAGGGGGGTGGAGGACTCAGACCACTGGGTGACACATTCTCGGTGCCTGCTCTGAGGTTCATCTCGTGGCTTCTCTCTGGTCTAGGGGAGGCAGCACCAAGGTGCTCCCCTGGGCCTGGGTCTCCTCGTGGCCCCTGCCAGCCCACATTGGGGCTTCACCTCAGAAACCCCATCTCACTTCCAGGCTGGTTTCTCCTGCACCCCTCCTGTCCCTTTTAGGCAGGGTGCACCCATTGTTTCTCTGGGTTGTGAGGGGAGGCCGGTCGTGTGGGTGAGTACCCTCCCCTACTCAGGAGAGGCCTGAGCAACTCGGCTGATGGAACCTGGCTGGGTTTACCCTTGTGTGGCTCAAGCCAGAAAGAGAGGCTGAATTTCCCCAAGTCGTCCTGCTCATCTTGGGGTATCCTATTTGGGCCTTCAGGATGACCCCTTTTTATTTTGGGGGCCTCCCAAGCAATGGTGAGGGGATCCAGGGGCCACTTCTGGTGCCACTCAAGACTGGTGGTTCAGGTTGGTGGCTCTGGGCTTGGGCAGCTGATACCCACACCTTGACCCTCAGCACCTCTGTGTGTGCCCTGCTCCTTGCAGAGGTCACTGGGCGCTACACTGAGAGCCAAGTGGGTGCCACCAGCCTCTCAGAGGGCTTCTCCCTCCAGTCACCTGTCACCTCCCCTCATTCTTTCCAGGTGGTGAACCGGCTGGGCCTGGACTCCCTGACCCCCTTCAACCCAAAGGAGCGGATCATTGAGTGAGTCTCCCCTCAGTTCTTTCACTTTCCACTGGGTCATTCTCCCACCACAGTCAAGGGCTGGACCCAGGTGTGAGATGCAGCAAGGTCCCCCAGTCTCACATACTCTCAGTGGGCTCCTGTGTGCTGCTGGTCTGAAGCAGGGGCCAGAGCCAACCCTCACCTCAGCAGAGACGGGCAAGATGGGACCCGTCCTGGGGCTGGAGCGATAGCACAGTGGGTAGGGCATTTGCCTTGCATGTGGCTAACCTGGGTTCAATTCCCAGCATCCCATATGGTCCCCTGAGCACCGCCAGGAGTAATTCCTGAGTGCAGAGCCAGGAGTAACCCCTGAGCATCACCGGGTGTGAACCCCCCCCAAAAAAAGAACAAGACCCATCCCTGAGCCTCATGTCCAGGGCCTCAGCCTGTCACCAACCCACAAGCCCCTGTTCCCCACTTGGCTTTGTCTGCCTGGCACCCTCAGGTACCTGGTCCCTGACCATGAGTCTAAGCAGAGCCTGGTGGACAAGCCCCTGGGCGCCTTCATCCAGGAGGTGGGCGCCCGCTCAGCAGCCCCTGGGGGCGGTTCAGTGGCGGCGGCCAGTGCAGCCATGGTGAGCAGGGCAGTGGGGCAGGAATGGGAGGGGGACAGGGAGAGGACTGGCATGAGTGTGGGGGGCATATGCCATGTGGTGGTGTCTCTGGACTTGTCTGGCCTGTTGCCAGGGTGCAGCACTCGCTTCCATGGCCGGCTTGATGACCTACGGCCGGCGCCAGTTTGAGCACCTGGACGCCACCATGCGACGCCTGATTCCCCCATTCCACACAGCCTTGGCTGAGTTGACGGCGCTGGTGGACAAGGATGCTCGGGCCTTTGAGGGTTACCTGGTGAGCAGGGCAGGGGAGGGAGGGTCTGATGGGTGAGGGGCCTTCGGGGACTGGGGAGGGGTTGAGGTGAGGGGTCTGGAGGAGAGGCCACCCTGGCCTTCAGGGCCTGGCCCGAGGCTGCTGCTCCACAGGCCTCTGACCCCAGGAAGAATCAGTGGTGCCTATTTGCACACGTGGTCAGGCCCGCACTCAGGGAGCTGACCGGCCTTGGACATGAACTTGCAGCCAGACTAGTGGGCATGCCCCAACCCCAAGGCCAGGAAAGCAGCAGCTCCCTCTGCTGCACCTGAAACCAGCGGTTTCACCCCCTGGAGGGCTTCCGGCCCTTGGTCGTACCAGGGTGTGGGATCTGCCCACTCTCCACACCAAGCTGTCAGGTGAGTTCCCGTAACAACCAGAAGGGGACAAGAAGCACTAATGCCCCCACCTTCTCTGCCAACCCATCTCTGTGGAGTCCCAGCCACTTAGGGGCCCCTGATAATGTTCCTCATGCACTCTTTGGTCTTGCTGTGCAGGAGGCAATGAAGATGCCCAAGGGCACCCCGGAGGAGCGAGACAGGTGAGGATAGGGGCACTTTTGGAAGTGGGGGCATCCCTGGAAGGTGGGGACAAGCCATGCTACTGAAAGGAACACTGCTACTGAAGGGGTACAGGCCACTAAGTGGGAAAACACACCCCTGAATGGACAGCATCGCCCTGAAGGGGCAACATGCACCTGGAGAGAGACAAGCTCATGGAGGGAGACATGCCCTGAAGGGGGGACACGCCTTGAAGGGGAACAGTACTGAAGGGAGATATGCCTTTGGGGGAGATAGGCCCTAAAGGGGGACATTCCTGAAGGGAGACAGTTCTGAAGGGAGACAGACCCTGAAGGGAGACAGTCCTGAAGGGGGATACTCCCTAAAGGGAGACATGCCCTGAAGGAACACATGCCTTGAAGAGAGACAGTCCTGAAGGGAGACACACCCTGAAGGGGGCCAGTCCTGAAGGGGGACACTCCCTGAAGGGAGACAGTGCCAAAGGGAGACATGCCCTGCAGGGAGACAGTCCTGAAGGGAGACAGTTCTGAGGGGAGACAGTCTGAAGGGAGACATGCCCTGAAGAGAGACAGTTCTGAAGGGAGACAGTCCTGAAGGGAGACAGTCCTGAAGGGAGACAGTTCTGAGGGGAGACAGTCTGAAAGGAGACACACCCTGAAGGGAGACAGTTCTGAAGGGAGACAGTCCTGAAGGGAGACATGCCCTGAAAGGAGACAGTCCTGAAGAGAGAGACACACCCTTAAGGGAGACACACCCTGAAGGGACACAGTAGTGAAGGGAGACAGTCCTGAAGGGAGATATGCTCTGAAGGGGGAACCCAGCTCTGAGTTGAAGTCACACTTGAAGGAGAGGCGGTTCTGCTGTCTGTCCCTCAGTCCTGGTTCTTTCTGTTCATGATCATGGGCCATGGGTGCATGCCACAGGCCGAGGGTCCCTGGACGCCTGGTTCTAACCATGCCTCCTATTCCAGGCGCACAGCGGCACTGCAAGAGGGGCTGCGATGTGCCGTGGGTGTGCCCCTCAGTCTGGCAGAGAAGGTGGCCTCTCTGTGGCCGGCACTGCAGGAGCTGGCCCAGCATGGGAACCTGGCCTGTCGGTCAGACATGCAGGTACACCCGGGGAGGGCATAGCACAGGGTGGTGGAGGCAGCCACAGGGGTGGGCACCAGGCGGGCCCCAAGCAGACCCGTGTCCCTTCCTCCTGCACCCCTTGCTCCCTTGACTCTAGGGCGCCTCAGGCTGGGGGTGTGGGGCAGGGCAGGGGGGGCTGCAATCCTATGGGCACCCTGCTCAAGGTGACCCTTGGGTTCCAGCCAGAGCCACTCACGGGGAGGGCAGGCTCCTCCCAGAGGGCTCTCCCTATCAGGGGCGCAGACCCTGCTTGGAGGGTCCCAGAACTCTGTGGTGAGAAGGGAGGCTGCCGCCTCACTCGGGGGCTCTGGGCAGCCCACCCAGACCCTGGTGCTCAGCTGGCTGCTGCCGCAGGTGGCGGCCAAGGCCCTGGAGATGGGAGTGTTTGGTGCCTACTTCAATGTGCTCATCAACCTGAAGGACATCACTGACCAGCAGTTCAAGGAGCAGGTGAGCAGTGGCCAGCCTGCCCTGGCTTGTCCGTCCTCGTTGCTCCAGCAGGACACTCCTGCCTGCCTGGACCACTGCCCAGCCGAAGCCGGCACAGGGCACTACCCCGTAGGCCAGGGACAGAGTGGGTGGCCTCAGGATAGACGGCTCTGCCTCCCGAGAGGACACTGCAGCAGGCAGAGCCAGAGTGGCGGGAGCTGACATGGCCCTCTGTGCAGGTCAGCCGGCGCATCTCCAGCCTCCTGCAGGACGCACAGGCCCAGGCTGCCCTGGTGCTGAACCGCTTGGAGGCCCGGCAGGAGTGACCCCTCCTGACAGATATCGGCCTGGTGGGGCAGGGGGTGGGGAGTGGGATCTGCTACGTGGGGGGAACCTGCATTCCCTTTGGCTTCCAGTAAAGTTGGGGTACAACAGGTCTGTGTGGTGTGTTGGGGGAACGTGGGGGGCTGGGTGGTGGGGCCCACAACCCTGCTCTCTCGGAGAGGCTCGGGGAGCCCTGCAGTGTCCTGTCCCTGCGTCACAGCTCTGTGGGGGCAGCCCTCTGCCTGCAGACCTACACCCCCATGCTGGGGGCTCAGCCACTCTGTTTAAGGCTGGCCAGTTAGGGACCCCAACGGTAGCTATAGAGGGTGCAAAGACCAGGTGTCTGAGAAAAGTCAGACGCAGCTGGGGAGAGGCCCTGGAATCAGCTTCCAAGAGCACCTGGTGGAGGTCTCTCTTATTTGCACACACAAGGTTGTGGACGTGGTACAGGGCAGCTGACTGGAGGCCGTCGTGGCACTTGGAGGGGTGCACATGGGGTGGGACTTGTTCTGGGGTCATGCCAGCCCCCTGGAGGGTCCCCAGCAGTAAGTGGCCCCCAAGTAGGGGAGGCATTCAACTTTTATTGGGGTCAGAGTGTGCACCCAGGCAGGGGCTGTCAGCTCAGTCCGCACAGGGGGTGCCCACACGGCAATGGGCCTCCGGGAGCACCAGGAAGGGGTGGGGGCAGGACCCACAGAGGGAGGCCACGGGCTGGAGCCGCGTGGGGCGGGCCGGGAGGGGCGTGGCCAGGGACAGGCTGGGTGGGGTGGGCCTGGTCAGGCCAGGGCACTGGGTGTGGTGCCGCTGGCGGCACTAGCAGAGCCAGCGGATGAACCTGTCGAAGAAGCTGGGTTGCACCAGGCTGTCATAGTCCTTCTCGCGGAAGACGGCAGCCGCATCGCCCAGGCTCAGCTTGGTCAGCACCTCGGTGTCCACGTCCGCGCCCACGGCCACCACCGTGGGCACCACATTCTCCTTGCGCATAGAGTGCAGTGCCTCGTTCAGGCTGAGGTTGCCCGTGACACCGTCGGTGATGAAGACGAAGGCCAGCTCTGCATGGCGCCGGGCACCCCCCTGCCCACGCTGCGCCACGTGGTTGACGGCATGCACGATGCCTGCGCCCACGTGCGATGCCGAGTCCAGGTAGCGTGCGTTGTCCAGTGCCTCCTGCACCTGCGCCAGGTTGGACGTCAGTGGGAAGACCACCTGCTGCTCGCCCGCCGCCCCGAACTGCAGCAGTGCCAGGCGCGCATTCAGAGGGTCGTCATCCCCGCGGGCCAGTGTCAACCGCCGCGACGTGGCCTCCACCAGGCGCAGTGCCTTGCGGAAGTTCTGCTCGCCCAGCCTCTCGGAGCCGTCCAGCAGGAAGACGATGTCCACTGGCCGCTGCGTGCACTGGGCCACATACAGCTCTGGGGGGAGACGTGGGGCCTGTGAGCCCGCCTGCCCAGCGCAGGGCGCCCAGTGAGGTCCCCAGCTCCTCTGCCCTGCCTCTTCAGGTCGGATCCCCCTTCCCTGGGGGCTGCACCCAGCTCAGTATCAGTGGAGACCCCCGCCACAGTCTACAGGGGTCTCCTCTCACCATCGGCTGACCCTGGGGTAGGAGTTCCCGAGCTCTTGGAAGCAGGATTGAGTGGCTCTGGGGACCCTCAGTGATAGGTGCCCACGGCCCAGCTTTGGGCGACCCTAAGCGCCAGGCATCTACCAGTGAGCAGTGCCCACAGCCCATCCCAGCTCTGTGTTCAGCCCCCACCTGTCAGGGTCTGGGAGACGTGCCAAGGGCACTGCTGGGGATGATCGTTTTTAATGAGCTTATTAAAGATGTAGCTTATTTGCAAACGAAGAACAACTTCTCTAAACCCAGCCAGTTCTACCGGTGCTTCTAGCAAATTCTCAAGCTCCGTCTGTCTTGCACATCCCTAGGGGCACTGATGAACGCGGGTTTGGGGTGGCAGTGGGGGGCTAGCCCCCCCCAGACCCTGTTCTCACCACCGCCTCCTGTGCAGAAGGGGGTCTGGGTGTGCCTGCTGGGGGCTGGGGAGCCAGGGGAACCTGTGGCTTGGCAGAACTCGGGGGTCAGTATGCTGAGATGAGTGAGGCATCCCTGGTGAGGAAGGGGACCCGCAGGTCGGGACAGCTGCTCAGCTCCTGACTGCCCCAGGTGGATGCCACCTCAGAGTGTTCACAGGAGAGGGCTGCAGCCATGGGAGCTGGGAGCAGGAAGGGCCTCAGACGCGGGACGGACCCATGTACCCTGGGAGTGTGGATCAGGGGCCTCGGGTGGGGCAGTTTCACTGCTGGGCACTGGTGGTCTGGGTGCGGCTCCCACGGAGGGTCAGCAGAGTGCCAGAGGCACCCCGGAGTCCCCCACAATGTCCCTGTGCACCAGCTTAAAGGTGTCAATGAAGAGCTCCGTCCAGTGTAGCCGCTCGCCCCCAGTGGCAAACTTGGCCCGTTCGGCAGTGTAGACCAGCGTGGCCACCAGCCTGGAGTAGGTGGCCGGGTCCCCGCTGAGCTCGGTGGTGTTTAGCAAGTGTTGGATCAGGGGGGCGGTCCCAGGGAAGGAGGTGTCCCGGCCCTCTTCCGAGTGCAGGGAGGTGACCGCCGGCTCGCCGGGCCGCGCACCATCTGCAGGGGCCAGAGAAGGCTTTGAGGGACCTGCTGGCTTGTGGGAGCGCTCTGCACTGGGACATGGGGACAGGAGCCACGGCGGGGGCTGGCAAGCGTGCTAGATGAACCAGGGGACAGGCAGAGGGCGCCGGCAGCAGCACCCCAGAATGCCCTTGTACCGGGGGTCCCCGTTTATCCCCCAACTGTGGTGATGGGTAGAGAAGATGCTCCTTGAGGTCGTCCTGACTCCACACGGGGCTCAGGATGCAGACACCATCCCTCTGACCCCAGGGCTCAGGACTGACTGGGGTGCCGGGAGCTGTTTGGGGAGCTCCAGCCCTCAGATGGTCCATGCCTGTGGATGCTGAGCCCAGCAGTGGCTGTGGGAGTGAGGCTGACTAGGTTGGGGGTCATGCCCAGTCCTGTGTGCTCAGGCCAAGCCCACAAGCTCCACCAGCACCCTGAGGGAGCCTGGAACATGGGCAGGACCCACCCAGGCTGCAGGTAGGCTACAGGTTGGTTCTGGGAAAGTTTCTCTCACTTGAGGAGGGGGAGCTCTGGAATTGGGAGGACGAGGTTCTCCCTGAGGGCTGCCTCTGCACTTTGGAGACTGGAGACTCGGGGGAAGCGGATCACCTGACTCAGCTCCCCCATTCCCTGCGAGACCAGTCACCCAACAGCAGAGCCACACAAGGACACAGAAAGGACACTCCTCTCAAGCTCTCTGGGCTGATGTGGAAGCCACAGCAGACATCCGGCAGTGTTTGAGCGACCCGCTCCTGCGGTGAGCAGTGCTCAGCATCTGACTATGGTCCACAGGTTCAGGAAGGTCAGCCTAGCCCCGAGCGTCTGAGGGTGGGGCACCCAGGAGATGACCATGGCTGCCCCAGCCCTCCATGTCCGATGCCATCTGCAGCCGGCTCCTTGGGCATCTTGCCGGATCAGCCAAGCCCCAGCCCGGCCCATTTCCCCTTCTGCAGACCATTTCCCAGGCAGCACCCAGGTGGACCCAGCACCCCCTGCCACCCCCCACTCTGGGGCTGAGATTAGGGTCCTACCCATGCCTCATCCTGGACTCCCAGGACCCCGAGGGACAGCCCTGGGTGTCCATAGCCTTGCAGCATGCAGCCACATTGGGGACACAGAATCCCTAATGTCCCTCTGCCCCAGAGAGAGGAGGGGGCTGCCAGCAGCAGCTCTGGCTGGTTGGGTGGCCAGGTGGTCTTCATGCTGTGCTCACACCCTCCTTCAGAGCCCCATTCCTGGGCTGTGGCAACCATGGGCACCTCCCCTCCTATGCTGGGGCACCCACCCAGCCGCCACCTCTGGCTGTGGGCTCCTGTCCAGGGGTTGCAGGGATCCTTGCTGGGGAGAGGCCTGAGCATGCTTCAGGGGGACCCTGCACAGCCCCGCCCCCCCGGAACCCCCCCAACCCGGGGTGCTGAGACAAGGACAGGGGTGTTACCTGCTTGGCAGGGGAGGTCTGGGCACACGATCTGGGGGTCTGGGAAGGAAAGAGGGCGGTGGTGAGCAGGTGGGTTGGCAGTGCCCAGCCCCGGCCGCCCCATGGGCAGCATCCTCACCTGGGCACAGCACGTCCTCCATGTCGTCGATGAAGCGCTCAGCCACCAGGTCGGAGAAGAGCGTCATGTTGCGCACCTGCTGCGGCTTGTTGCAGGCGATGGACGACAGGCTCTCGCTCTCGTGCTTCTCGTGGAACATGTCGCCAATACCAATGGCCGTGACGGTCACGTCGCGGTTGCACAGCGCCTGCAGGTGCAGGTCGTCGTCGCGCGGGTCGTGCCGGCCGTCGGTGATGACCACGGCGAATACGCGCGTGCCCTGGCGGCGGCTCTCCTTGATGAGCCGGTCGTAGGCGAACTTGAGCGCCGACGGCGTCCACGTGCCACCCGCGATCCACTCGAGGCTGCGCACGGCCTCCTTGAAGCTGGACAGCGAGTCAATGCGCGGGTCGTCCAGCTGGATGGCCTCGAAAGTGCCCTCGTGGCTGTACTGGACCACGCCCACGCGGGTGCCTGTGGCGGGCGGGGTGGGTGGGGTGAGGGCGGAGCAGGCGCGGCCACTCCCTCCCTCCAGTCGCTCTGGGCTGTGCGCGGCTCCGTCCACTCTGCCGCTCACCAGTCTTGGACTTGGGGTCCTTGGCGATGGCACCCAGCCTGTTGACCACGTTGATGACGAAGTTCTTCTCCAGGGTGAAGTTGGTGTAGCCGATGCTCTCGGAGCTGTCGATGACGAACACCACGTCCAGGGCCCCGCAGCGCTTCTCGCAGTCTGCGTAAGGGGCGCGGCTCAGCAAGGACACGCCAAGCGCCGCGGACGCGCGAGCCCGCCCAGCCCCGCCCCGCCGGACTCACCACAGCAGCCGCACGTCTCCCGCACGTACGTCATGACGTCACACTCCTGCAACGCAGCAGCAGGCGTGCCACCAGAGTGGGCGACGAACCCAGAGCCCACGGACTTCCCTCCGACCCTGCCCACCAAGACCCGACCACGCCCACACCCCATGGCCACACCCACCCACGCCCACATCCCTGACTGCTCACACCTCTGACCACGCCCACCCGTTCCCTGACCACGCCCACTCCTGACCACACCCACCCACGCTCACAACCCACGGCCACACCCACCCACGACCACACCCCTATGATCACGCCCACACCTAACCATGCCCACCCGTGACCATGCCTGCCCACTCCCTGACCACGCCCACCTCCCTTCTGACCATGCCCAACTGTTATCACGCCCACAATGTCTGGCCACGCCCCTCCCTCTGACCTTGCCCTCCTCAGGCCGTACCTACCCTCTACCCCCTCACCTCCTGACCCCGCCCACCTCCGACCACGCCCATCTTCTGACCACGCCCTTCCCAGGGCTGTATCTACTCCCGACCCCACCCACCCTATGACCACGCCCTGTCCGTGACCCGGGTAGGCGGGTGTTCAGGCCCAGGCACCTACTGTGAGACCGGGGTCTCCGGGGGGTCCAGGTTCTCCCTGCAGGAGGGAGACGTGGGGAGGTCAGTGGGCCCTTCTCCACAGGCACTTTGGGGTCCCTGCCACCCTCACCCTCTTCCCGCCCGAGGGCTCAGAACTGGGTCCTACCTCAGGTCCTGGGGGTCCTCTCGGGCCTCGGGGGCCAGGCTCTCCAGGGGGTCCAGGATCCGCCTGCCGGGAAGAGGTGTCACTGCCGGGTGAGGGCACTGGGTGGCCGAGGGGTGAGGACACGGGAGGACATGGGGGCACATGGGGCTGGACACAGGGGACAAGGGGCGGGGGCACAGGGCAGGGACACGGGGAATACGGGGGTGGGGTAGGGGGGACATGGATGGGGGAAACGAAGGGACACAGGAGGACATGGAGCAGGTGCTCACAGGCTCGCCCTTCTCGCCTTTCCTCCCGCTCTCTCCTTTCAGTCCGAAGTCGCCTCTGCCGCCCTGCAGACACAGGGACATGAGCGCTAGCAGCCGGGCTGGGATGGGGCTGGGACTGGACTCGGGACTAGTGAGGGGGCTCACGGTACCCCCACCTGACATGCACACACGTACCTCGGGGCCTCGGGGGCCGGGCTCGCCTTTGTCACCCTAAAGAGAGAGCACGGGGGGATGGCTGTGACCCCACATCACCTCTGTACCACCCTGCTACACCCACCCCTCACTGTTCTTTTCCCTCCCTCCCACCCCTGCCAGCCCCTCCCCACCTCCCCCTGCCCCAGCCCCTCCTGTCCTCCGCTCTGCACAGTGGGGATCTTCCACTGGACTTACAGGCTCTCCTCGAGGTCCAGGGTAGCTGAATCCAGGTCTTCCAGGGTCTCCCTGAGGGGTGTGGGGCAGATGGATCAGACCGACTTGGGGGCCTCAGGACAGGAGTGCCCCCTGCCCCGGTGCAGGCCCAGCCTCTTCAGTGGGTGGGGTGGGGATTACCTTGGGGCCAGGTGGTCCTGACTCTCCACGGGGACCAGCATCCCCAGGGTCTCCTCGAGACCCCTGCAGGCAGAAAGTAGGGTGTCAGCACAGGTGAAGACCCCAGACCCTCATGCCCTCCATGCATGGGGGCTCACGAGTCTGCCTTTGGGTCCTGCCCCACTCACCTGCTTCCCGGGTTCCCCTAGGGCACCTTGGGGTCCTCTAGGTCCAGGCAGGCCTCGGTCCCCCTGCAGAGAGAGCGGCCTCATGTGGATGTGGGGCACCCGTGGACCAAGGTGCCAGGGGAAACAGAGGGTGCAGCACCCCCTCTCCTGGGTGCCCCCCATGGCCCACTGACCTTGGATCCTTTGTTGCCCACCTCTCCGGCCAGGCCCCGGGCTCCCTCAGGCCCAGGGTCCCCCTGTGAGGAGAGAGACTAAGCTAGAGACATGCCAGAAGCTTGGGAGTCCCTTTTTTCAGACAGGCCCCACCTCCCGGGCATAGGTGCCATGTTCCCACACTTGGGACCCCGGGCAGACAGGCTAGATGAGCTGTAGGAAGCTGGCCAGGACGTGCTTGGCCTGCCAGGTCTACACAGCGTCACACAGTAGTGCCACACGGCATCACACATCACTCAGTACACAATGCCCTACTTACAGCACACCACAGTGTCACGCAACACATCACATGGTGCATCACACGTGCCCCTGCTTGCAGGCTGGCTCCAGGGCAGGTGCGGGGTCCCCGCAGGCCTGCTCCTGTGGGCTGGGCTGTGGGACCCCTCCAGAGGGTGGGGGTGCTGGACACTCACCTTTTCCCCCTTGGTCCCATCACTGCCTGGGCCGCCCTTGGCCCCGGGGTCTCCTCTTCGGCCCTGCAGAGAAGGCATGTGGGTGGGGTCGCAGGGACCCACTCTGGAGACCCTGACTAGGGCCTCTCCTGGACTCAGGAATGGGGCTGGGGTCCAGGTGGGCTGGCGTGAGCATGTCCCCAGGGTCTGGTGATCTGGGTGCAGGCTAGGGTCCCCTCCAGCCCTCAATGTGTCCCCCGAGGTCCAGGGCACTGTCTACACATGGGGGGTCAGGGGGCGGGAGGCAAGCCAGGCACTCACAGGCTCTCCGCGGGGTCCTCGGGGCCCAGGGCCGCCCTTGGCTCCTTTCACGCCGGGGCTGCCTGGGGCTCCGCTGTTGCCTTGGTAACCCTGTGGGATGGACAGTCAGGACCGGAACACCGGGCACCCCACCCTGTGTGGCCCTTCATGAGGCACTTGCCTTGCTTCCTTTGGCCCCACTCTCTCCCGGAGGGCCTCTGCGTCCAGGCCGGCCGGCGTCACCCTGCAGGGTTGGAGCTGTCAGTGCGGCTGTGAGAAACCCAAACTCGGGTGGCCTGAGGGCAGAGCCCCTGGGAGACCCCCAAGGGAGGGTGCTCTGGCCACACAGACCCCCACTCCGGGCTGGGCTTCCGGGGCAGGCCTGATGGTGGGGCTTCAGGTGCTCAGAACCCGACATCTCAGAGCAGGGAGGGCGGCCCCCACACCCCGGGAAGGACCCCCACCCTGGGAAGGACCCCCACTCCCCCTGGAAGACCCTCACAGGTAAGGTCCCTCACAGCTCAGGAAGAACTCCACGGACCTGAAGGGCTCACACACCCCAGGAAGGACCCCCACACTGTGGAGGACCCCCACCCTGGAAAGGCTTACACCGGGAAGGACCCCCACACCCTGGGAAGGACCCCCATAACCTGGGATGGACACTCCATACCCTGGGAAGTGTCCCACATCCTAGGAAGGACCCCCCAACCCAGGAAGACCCCCACCTCAGGAAGGACTCCTAGTCCGGGAAGGACCTCTACACCCTGGGAACAGCACCCACACCCCGGGAAGGACTGCCACCAAAGGACAGACCCCACACCCCAAGTAGGACCCCACAGCCCTGGAAGGACCTCAACCCTGGGAAGGAAGGACCCCCATCCTGGGAAGGAACTCCACACCACGGGAAGGACCCACACACCCTGGGAAGGACCCCCATAACCTGGGATGGACACCCCATACCCTGGGAAGTGTCCTGCATCCTGGGAAGGACCCCCCAACCCAGGAAGACCCTCACCTCAGGAAGGACTCCTAGTCCGGGAAGGACCTCTACATCCTGGGAACAGCACCCACACCCCGGGAAGGACTCCCACAGCCCGGGAAGGACTCCCACCAAAGGAAAGATCCCACACCCCAAGAAGGACCCCACAGCCCTGGAAGGACCTCAACCCTAGGAAGGAAGAACCCCCATCCTGGGAAGGAACTCCACACCACGGGAAGGACCCCAACCCTGGGAAGGACCCAATCCCAGGAAGGAACTCCACACCACGGGAAGGACTCCCACACCCCGGGAAGGCCCCCCCACCCCAAGAAGGACCCCCCACTGTGGGAAGGACCCCCCACTCCTGGAAAGACCTCTACACTCTGGGAAGGACCCCCATACCCCGGGAAGGACCCCCACCACGGGAAGGACCCCCACATCCCGGGAAGGACCCCCACCCCGGGAAGGTACCCATACGCCGGGAAGGACCATCCCCACCCTGGGAACGCCCTCCACCCTGGGAAGGGCCCCTGGGGTGCTTCCCCTGGGCTGTCCGAGCTGGAACCCTGTGGCCTGGCCACGTGCCCCTACCTTGGCGCCTTGGTCTCCCTGCTCCCCAGGGCTGCCCGCTTCTCCAGGGTAGCCATCAGGGCCCTGCGGGGAAGGGGCTGCTTGACTGGGAGCCCAGGGAGCTGGGCCTGACCCAACGCCCGGCCTGCAGACTCCCTGCCCTCCCGAGCCCCAGACAGGACGGCATTGTAAGGAAGGGGCGACAGCTGCAGGGGCCGAGCAGGGGCGAGGGTGAGACCACACCTACCCGGCTCCCGGGATCCCCCTTGCATCCAGGAGGTCCAATGCGCCCCAGCTTGCCCTGCAGAGAAAGTGGACAGGAGAGACCTCAGGGCAGCACCAGGCCATATGAGAGTGTCACCCAGGGGCCTGGCCAGGTGGAGCATGTGTGCAGTGCCCCTTTGCACGTGTGTGCATATGTGTGCCTGTGTAATCGTGTGTACTGCTGAGTGCGTGCCTGTGATGTGTGTGTGCACGGCTGTGATGTGTGTGTGTGTGTACTGTGCGCACAGCTGTGGTGTGTGTGTACACCGCTGTGATGTGTGTGTATGCTATGTGCACTGTTGTGTTGTGTGTGTGCTGGTGTGTGCACACGGCTGTGATGTGTATATATGTGCATGGCCGTGATATGTGTGTGTGTGTGTGTGCTGTGCACTGCTGTGATGTGTGTGTGTGTGCACGGAGGCCTTGGTCCCCTCGCCCTCCCCCCTCCCCCACTCTGGTCTGGGCTCCGTTGCAGCCTGGGGTCCTGCAGGCAGGCCTCAGATTTCAGAGTGTTTCCTGGGCTCCGGCCAAGGTGCTGTTCTGGCTGAAATGCTTGGCAGCCCCCTGCTGTGAGGCGGGGGGTGGGGGGGTCCCTGAGGGTCCCGCAGGGCTCGTCCTGAAGGGCACAGGGCTGCTACCTTCTGTCCGTCAGTCCCGTTTTTGCCGGCCAGGCCAGAGGCGCCCTGAGGGGAAGGAAGGGCAGCTGTCAGCCCTCACCGCAGCCCCAGTGCTGGGAGTGGGGGCGCCACCCCCCCCCGACAGACCCCTTACCTTCCGTCCGTCAGCTCCGAATTCACCCTGTGCAGGAGAGAGGTGGGTTAGACCATGGCCGAGGGGCCAGCAGGCCCGAGGTGGTCACTCACGGTCACTCCAGTCCAGCAGAGGCGTCAGGAGAGGTCTGACCACAGGGCTTGTCTCACCTTCTCTCCTTTGAGACCGGGAACCCCCTGTGGAGGGAGAGGGGGAGCAGGGTTACAGGGGCCACCCATCCTGACAGAGGCCACCTGCCCCCACCCCCCAGGGGGCAGCTCTGTCAGTGCTATGTCCCCATCACTGGGCAGAGAGCGACTTGCCTTGGGTCCAGGGAATCCGATGGGACCCTCGATGCCTGGGTCTCCCTGCGGAAGAAGAACAAAGGGCCAGAGGTGACCCTCGCCCAGGGAGCTGGGGTGGGCAGGTGGCTGGGGGGGGGTGGCTGGGGGCACACGCACCTGTCGTCCCTTCTGTCCAGGCTCGCCCGGCTCGCCCATGTTGCCCTTGGCACCCTGGAAATGACAGGAAGAGGTCAGCAGAGCAACAGGGGAGGGGTGGCTGGGCCCTCTAGTGGTCCCCGGGTTCCCTCACTCCCCACAGGGCAGCTGTGTCCGAGGGTCCTGGCCGGCGATCCCGGACTGCCCTCTCCGTCTGCCTGCGTGTCCACCTGCTTAGCACTGAGTATCGGATGATGAGTCTGTCCTCAGGGCCATGCAGGCTTGGGCTGGGCATCACGTGTCACCGGACACCCCGGGGCTCCCCAGGAGCTGGGCGGCCACGGCCAGCTTGGCCCTCAATGCAAAGGGGGCCGGCAAGGGGGCAGGGAGAGGCCGCGGCGGGGGGACGCCTGGGAGCCGCCAATTCCCCCAGGGTCCCCACATCCTGTGTCAGGCTATCTGGGGGTTCCCCCATGAGGCCTGGGGGCTCATACATCAGGGGGCTGAAGTCGCTGGTGGGTGCTTGCTCCTGGGCCGGAGTGCTGGACACCTTGGGAGCTCAGCCCACACTGCGGTGTGAAGCTGGGAGGGTTTGTCCTGACCCTCTGTGGCGGCTTCTCGTGCACCCCCTCCTCCGAGTTCTAACCCCGCCTCAGGTTTCACCCCCCTCCTCCCATCTGCACCTCAGTTCTCCCCCACCACCGCCTCAGTTCTTATGCCCCACTGGTGGTTTCTCGCCCAATAGAGTGCTCTCAGCAGGCCATCCTCCTGAGACCAGTGTCCCCTTGCTTAGCGGCTGGTTAGCAGGGGCTGAGTGGGGGAGCCCAGGACGGACAGGGTCAGGCTTTGGGGGCGTCTCACCTTCTGTCCACGGTACCCCTTAGGGCCGGGCGCACCCCTGATCTCCAGACAGCTCACTTTGTAGCACTGCAATGAGAGGGTGGTCAGGCCTGCTGGGGTCTCCCTCAGTGCCTGGTGTCCAGTGCCCGCCTCCTCCTCCCTCTCCATGGGCAGGGGCAGGGGCAGCGGGCCAGGCTGCAGCCAGGGCCGGCGTGGACACTCACCTCCCCGTAGGCTTCGTGTTTCTGTGTGGGAGAGAAGGGAGAGTCTGATGAGTGGGAATGGGCCTCAGCCCCGCCGTGTCCTCCCGTGCCAGGGGGGAAACCGAGGCCGGCGGCTCACCATGACCCGGATGATGCGGTTGATGGTGTCCTGGTCCATCTCGGAGTCGGGCCGGATGGTGACGTAGCCGTTGCGATAGAGCTCGTGGGGGACGCTGGCCAGGTCCCGCAGGCCCTGTTCGTGCAGCCGCTGGCTGGGGGACACGGCGAACAGCCGAATGCCCTCATCGCGGGCGCGCTCGGCCTGTAGCTTGAGGCCGCCGCACGGGCTGCCAGTGACGTGGCCATCGGTGATGACCACGGCATAGGCCACGGCGCCCTTGCCCAGGAAGGGCCGCACCTGGCGCGTCATGTTGGCGATGGCGCAGTCGGTGAAGGTGCCCCGCCGGATGGACACGATACTGCGCAGCCTGCCCAGGAAGGAGGCCCGGTCACTGTCGGGCGGGCTGAACTCCTGCACCACGTCCGAGAAGTGCAGCCCGCCCAGCCGCCAGCTCAGCACCACCTGGTCCAGGTATAGCTGGTCCTGCAGCTGGCTGGTCAGCTCCACCACAAAGTCCTGCATGTGCTGCAGCAGCCGGTCCGTGGGTGGCTGCATGGCCACACTCTCTGATGTGTCCAGCACGAAGTACACGTACACCGGGCAGTGCGCCTTCTCTGGGGGGGGGGGGGGCACAGGCACGTCAGCCCCAGACGCAGCCACACGGCCCCGCACTGCTTCCCCTCTGCAACACGGCCCTCCACGCTGCCCCTCTGCCATGCCCACAGCCCAGTCCCCTGTGCTACCTCCTTCCCCTCCCTTCCCCTCCCCTCCCCGAACCCAAGAGCAGCCCCCTCCCCTCTCCTCCCCTGCACACACCCACAAGTCCCCCTTGATCCCCAGCCCTTCCCCTGGTCCCTGTAGAAACCTGGGCAGTTGTTGCTTCTGTCTGAGGTTCCGGGTGCGATGACCTCCTGCTGCTGGGCATGGAGGACCCCCAGGAGCCCCCAGAGCAGGAGGGCGGGGCAGAGGCCTCTGAGCATCTTGATGCCACCTGAGTGCCCTGGTGACCTGCAACAGGAGTGAGGTCCCTGCAGAGTGACCACCGCCCGGCCCTCCTGTCCAGGTCGCACAGCGTCCCCTGCAGAGAGGCCTTCATTGGGTCCTCCTGTCCCATGGACACACGGTGGCGTGGGCCTAGGCTGCTGCCCCCAGGTCACACCACCACCAACTGTGAGGGTGCAGGAGCTCAGGTTTGGGCTTGGTCCCCCTTGCCCCCACACTGGCCATTGGGGGGGACTGGAGGGGATGGGAGAGCAGAGTGTGGAGGGCCGCTCCTGCACAGGCAGGACTCCAGGTCCTGGACTGCAGGGAAGGGACGTGTCCACACCCCTTTCTCTCTTTCACTAACACACTCTACCCCTTCACTCACACAGACAATCCACCCCATCCTCCCTCCCTGACACAGACACACACAGACACAGAGACACAACTCACCCCATCGTTCAGACATCATCCACCCCGTCATACACCACTTTGGAGGGTCACACCCGACAGTGCTCAGGGGTCACTCCAGGGGACTCGGGGGACCATATGGAATGCTGGGAGTTGAACCCGATCGGCCATGTGCAAGTTCCCTCCCTTCCGTACTATCCTCTGGCCCCAATTAAAAAATATGTTTTGTTTTATAACTTCTCTTTTGTTGATTCCAAAATAAATGCTTTCTTTTAATGGTTTATTTCTTCAGGTGAATCTCTTTGAACTTGCACTACTCAGAAGCTGACTGGGCTCCTTGTATGTTCCTATTCCTGTCATTCAGAAGATTCGAGATGTCTGGGGCTAGAGCAATAGCACAGCGGGGAGGGTGTTTGCCTTGCACGCGGCTGACCCAGGTTCGATCCCCAGCATCCCAAAGGGTCCCCCAATTATCGCCAGGAGTAATTCCTGAGTGCAGAGCTGGGAGTAACCCCTGCACAACGCCGGGTGTGACCCAAAAAGCAACAACAACAAAAAAAGCTGGTGACCTTTCTTTCTCCAAAGGCCTGTCTCTCTTTCCCTGCTGCTCTCCTTGGCCCCCTCATGCTGACAGCAGCCCTGAGGACTTCAGGGAACTGGCTTCCACCTTGGAACCCAGGAGCTCCTGGTCCTTGGGTGGGAGGGGAGGAGCCCCTGCCGTGGATCCGTGGGCCTTTTCTTTAGTCTCTGCTTTCCGTCTCTCAACGGACAGTGCCCTGTCTCCAGAGCTGTTGCTTGTTCCTGTGTTTGCTCGAGCCTGCTTTAGAATCCAACAAAATCTCCATCTCAGTTACTATACTTTTCAGTTCCATCATTTCTTTGTGGATTCTATTTAGGTTTTGTTGATATTTCTATTTTCCCTAACATTATTTTCTGAACTTTCTTTTCTTTCTTTTTTTTTGAGCATCTAAAAATGGTGGTTTTGATGCCATCCTACCATGGGCGGGGCTCTCTGGGCCATCCCTGTCTGCTCCTCTGCCTTGTGATGTGGTTGAAAAGGATAACTTTAAATATAGTAACACGGAACTGGATTATAATAACACGGAGCCCAATAATGTGAAAACTAGACCCTGCCTGGGTTTGCTGTGTGTGGCTGTCCTCTGGAGTCTGTGCCTGCAGGACAGGTCAGGAAGATCAGGACACAAAGGGCAAAGCCCACCTGGCCACATCAGCTGGTGCTGATAAAATTCAGCCTTTCCATGATGAAAGCACAGCAGTCCCGGGACAGAAGGAATGACCTCGACCCGACGAGGGCAGGAGAGACCCCCTCAGTCCATCCCTGCTCTGTGCACCCCCTCTCTAAGAGGATCAGAGCCACACAGGGGGAGGGGTAGTCTACCAACAGCAGCCAGACAAGAAAAGTAAATAATGTCATCAGTGCTGAGAGACAACAGTGAAATCATCTCTGCTCACGTTGAAAATGACTGTATAGGTAGGAAACCCTGAAGTTTCTGCAGAGGGGCAGGGGAGATTTCAGCCCCCGGCACCTCCTGAGGTCCCCTGGCCCCGACCATAGAGCCAGGAGTAAGCTCTGAGCATTGAGCTTAGCAAAGTGTCCATTCATAAAAGTCATTTGTATATCTACACAAAAACAACGAACCCCAAAAAGAAATTTAAAAAAAATTTATGTAACCTAACCAAAAATGTGTAGCATACTTAGAAGCTGCCTTTACCAAAGAGGTGGAAGGTTCTGTTGGTTGGGGGATCAGGGCTTCTCCCAACTCAGTGCTCAGGGGTTTCCATGCTCAGTGCCTGTTACACCAAGCTCACATACTCCATTCTCAGTGCTCATGGATACACCAAGATCAGTGCTAATGTTACTTCCAGATAAGTGCTCAGGGAAACTCCCAGCTTAGTGTTAGATTGCTCACAACTCAGTGCTCAGGGATACTCCCAGCTCAGTGCTCAGGACGTGCCCAGTGGTGCTGGGAGGTCATATGTTGCTGGGAATTGAACCCAGGTCTCTGGAAATTTTTAACTAATTCCTCTGGCCTTGGGAGACTACTGGAAACTTCAACATTTCTGACAGGAATGAAGAAAAAGATCAATGAAAGAAATGCCACGATTATGAGTTAGAAGCTCTAACATTAATATGTGAATGATACCCAGAGTCATATGCAGACTCTGTACAATCCTTATCAATGTCCCAATCATCATTTTTGCAAGAATAGAAAAGCTTATAAAGAATATGTAAGGAGATAACCTGAGAAAAGATCCAAAGTGGAGAACTCATACTCCCTGGCTTCCAGAGGTACTACTAACACCATGAAAATCCAGTGTGGGCCTGGTGTGGAAATCTGCCACAGAGCCCAGAGGAAAGAAGAGGCTCTAGACCAGAAGCAAGCTATTCCCTGAAGGTCCCCCACGTAGGCCGGCTGCCGGCCACACGCCAGAGAGGAAGCCGGGCCTTGCCTCGCATCAGACCCTGCAGTGGACTCATGGCCCAGTGCCGACGGTCGTCCCGAAATCTACAAACTCACAGAAGGAAAACAGGCAACGAGCAAGGGAGCAAGGCTGGTGGCTCCTGGGCCATGGCGTCTAAGCACATGGAAAGAAGAAAAAAAATCGACAAACGATTTTGTGAAATGAAACAAAAACTGTGCATCTGGACCCTGTCCAGAGCCAAAAGGCTACTCAGAGAAGAGAGAACTGTGGCCAGCATGGACGTGGTCGGAGACCATCGTCAGGAGGTCGAGAGATGAGAAGGCAGGAAGCCCAACAGGAAAGCAGAGGACGCTGGCTGGCGTGGCCCGATGGCACTCAGGGCGGCTCCCCTCGGAGCGGCCACCCCATGCAGAGGGGGGGTCCACCACCCCCCAGATGTGAACTGGGCACTGCGTGCGCTGACAAGCTCTGGGAATCCGGCTCCCTGTGCGAGACAGTGGGAGGCACCCATGAGGGGCGGAAGGCAAGGTCAGGAGGTGGCCCTGTCCACGGTGGCCCCCACGGGGTTTGGCAGGCAGCCGTGCTCAAGAGAACGCAGGCATCCACAAGAGGGCACTGCTCAGCTGCGGAGGACACCGCCGCAGGAGGCCTCTGGGAAGTGGCCCTCAGGGAGGACAGGAGGGCCCCTAGGGTAGCCTAGGGCAGGTGGAGGGCTCAGGTGGGCAGGGCTGGGCCGGAGCACTGCCACCCCTTCCAGAGGTACTGGGGTGGACGGAGCTCGGTCCTGGGTGCAGGAGCAGGTCGTAAATGCGGGAGGGGATTTGGGGGGGTGGCTGGGGTCAGGCACCTCTGGGGCACGCCCTGAACCAGGGCCCACCCTGTGCTGTGTCCATGAGCCCGAGGAGCCCAGCAGGGACCGAGCCCTAGTGACCCGAGCTGTATGGGTCCCACCACTGTGTCTGGGGTGTGGCCAGGCCTAAGCCTCCTGCAGGGAAGGGGGCTATGGGGAGCACGAGTGGGGGCAGAGTGTGGGCCTGAGGCTGGTTCCCTTGCCTCCCCCAGGGGCAGGCCCGGGGAAGATGGGCCCTGGAAGTTGGGGGACCTCGAGTAGGCGGCAGAAGCAGCCGGAAGTCCAGCCCAGGGCTGAGGGTGCTGCCCTGCCTTTTGGCAGGAGCCCAGAGCCCAGGAGACCCCAGAGGCCATGCCTGTCTTCTGGGCTCACTGCGTCTTCACTCTCTGGGAGGGTGGGGAGGCCCATGTGCTCCCGCCACCCCCACCCCAGCAGCCTCCCGGGCCTCGGAGTGTGGCTAAGTCTCCTGCACCCACTAAAGCGGGCCTGGGGCAGCCCCCCTGGTGGAAGGGGGCAGGGAGGCTCTGGCTGGGACCCAAAGGCACTAAGGGGGCTGCAGAGAGAAGGGGCACGGGCTAAGGCTAAGGCTAGGTGGTCCTAGGCAGTAGGAGTCCCAGGCAGCTAGGCAGTCCCAAGCAGCTAGGGGATCCCAGGCAGTAGGGGGTCCCAGGCAGTAGGGGGTCCCAGGAAGCTAGGGGGTCCCATGTGGCTAGGGGATCCCAGGTGGCTAGGGGATCCCAGGCAGCTGGGGGGCCCAGGCAGCTAGAGGGTTCCAGGCAGGAAGGGGTCCCAGGAAGGAGGGGGCCCCAGGCAGCTAGGGGGTCCCAGGCAGCTAGGGGGTTCCAGGCAGCTAGGGGGTCCCAGGCAGCTGGGTGGCCCAGGCAGCTAGGGGGTCCCAGGCAGTAGGGGCTCCAAGGAAGCTAGAGGATCCCAGGCAGCTAGGGGGTCCCAGGAAGCTGGGGGTTCCAGGCTGCTAAGGGGCCACAACAGTTAAGGGGGCTCAGTTACAGGCCGTTGGCAGCTGAGGGTGTTTGCCGGGGGACCCAGGGGGAGTTCAGTCTGGCCCAAGGCGCGGGAGTGGCCCCCTGCTCAGACCCCAGCAGCCAGGCCCAGGCCCCGCAGAGTGGGCGCGGGGTCCCGGGGCGCTTACCCGAGCCCGCGGCGCTGGGGCGTCCGTCCGACCGCGACGGGAACGTCCACGGCGGCTGGGTCCGGGTCCAGACGAGCGGGAGGGAGCGAGGGAGGGAGGGAGGGGCTCCGCCGGGGCCGCCCCTTACTCTGCCCCGCCCCGCAGCGATGGCGACAGCCGCCACCAGGAGGCGCTGCGGCCCCGTGGGAAGGGGAACGGGGAGGGGGAGAGAGGGGAGGGGGGAGGGGGGAGGGAGGGAGCAGCACGGTGCAGGTGAGTGGACGGGAGAGGTGGGGGTACGGGTGGGTTACAGGCCGGTGACATGGGTGCAGAGAGGAATAGGTCAGAAGAAGCAGGAGGGGGTGGGCGCGGTCAGGGGGTCGGGGAGGGAGGAAGGACCCCAAGAGGCCAGGTCAGGGGGCTGCTGTGTTCCCCCATGCTTTCTGTGCCCCTGGGGGGACCTGAGGACCTGGTCAGGCAGTGTGGAGGTGTGGGGGCCGCAAGGGGCCACACCCATCCTCCCCACTCTGTCTCCCTTGGCCTCCTGCCCCACGGGGTGTCAGAAGGTCCGGCAACCGAAGTGCCCAGACAGCTGTGCTGGCCAGCCCTGATCACAAGCCGCCTCCGGGGTGTCTGTCTCTGCCTGTCTTTCACCCCGAGGCCACAGGGTCTCATTCAGTCTCCAGGGCTGCTAAGGCTGTGGCCCCAGGGAACACACCGCCTGTCCCCTGGGGCCCAGAGAGGAGGTGGCCTCCATCCACTGAGGCCAGCAAGATGGTTGCGGATAAATGGCTGAGGTCAGTTCTAGAACCTTCCTGCCAGCGCACCTCATGCCCACTTTCACTCTGTCCCTGGCTCGCTCCCTGCCCGCTTCCTCTTCCCGTGGCCACTTGGGTCTGGTTCTCTCATCAGCAGTGTTTGGGCCACACCCAGTTGCTCAGGACTTACTGCTGGTCTGTGCTCAGGGACCCACGCAGGGCCAGCCCCCTCCCCGTCCTAGGACTGGCCCAGCTGCCCCCTTGGAGGGTCCCAGTCTGTTGCTGCAGGTATCATCTTTCTTGGACAGACAAGTGAATAAAAAGCCCTTGGGTTAATCTCCAGAACTCAGAAAGAAATTCGGTTTTGATCATTTTACCAGTTCTTTCGCTACTCTAAGAAGCCTGGGTAGAGCGGGCCGCCACTGCCCCACAGCCCAGCCCCAAGGACCGAGCCTGGCGGGCCCCCACTGGCCCCCCTTCACACCCTTGGACCCTTCTGTCCCGAAGCTAGGGGTCTCCTCCCCTCTCCCACCTTGCACAGGGATCCTCCTGCCTCCTGCTGATGTTCTGGGGGCAGTGCTGGCCCAGGGCCCCTGGGGTGAGGCTGAAGTCCTGCCTGAGTGGGTGGGACGGGGTCTACACTGAGGTCTGGGGGGCTGGGCTGCCTGTGTCCAGGGCATGGGGCCCACTGAGGCACACAGTGTGTGCTTGTGTGCTGAAAGTGCACCCGAGTCAGTCAGGGGGACATCAAGTGGGCCCCTAATGGGCTGTCACCCCCTCTCGAAGCACCCCTCCCCCCAGAGAGGTGGTGTGGGCACTCTGCCCCTCCCCACAGAGAAGAGGTCCCTTCCTCTCTGGGGTCCCCTTCTGGCAGAGAGGAACCCTTAAGTGGGTCTAAGTAGAAGCAGCTGGTGTTGGGAGGAGCCGCCCAGGGCTGTGTGGGGTCTGTGAGGGGAGGGGGCTGTGAGGGGAGGGGCCTTCGAGAGAGGGGGTTGTGAGGGGAGGGGCTGTGAGGGGAGGGGCTTTAAGGGAGAGGGGCTTTGAGGGGGAGGGACCTGTGAGGGAGGGGGCTGTGAGGGGGGAAGGTTCTGTGAGGAGAGGGGTCTTTAAGGGGAGGGGGCTGTGAGAGGAGGGGCTGTGAGGGGAGAGGTCTGTGATGGGAGGGGCCTTAAGGGAGGGGGCTGTGAGGGGGAGGGGGTTGTGAGGAGAGGGGGCTGTGAAGGGGAGGGAGCTGTGAGGGGGAGGGGCTGTGAGGGGGTGCCGTGAGGCATTCTGCTGGGCTGCTCTGGGCCTCACAAAGCCTGTGGGTGTCTTCTCAGGGAAAACCTGGTCTCACAGTGCTTGTCCGACCCCAGCACTGGGGTGGGCCAGGATGGCCCCTTTGCAGCAGCGAGGCGTGGGGTCCGATGGGGGGGCTCTGCTCTCTGCGACCCGGGAGCCCAGTGGGGACCTGAAGAACCTGCAGCTTCTCAGCCTGGTCTGTGAGCCATGGGCAGCACCTCAAGACCTCACTCTGCTGCACTCTGTCAGGGCTGGAGGGAGGGAGGGTGAGGCGGGGGGGGGGGGGCTCCTGGCACCCTCTGCCCAGGGACATGGTAGTGCCCAGGCTGCTTTCCATGAGGTCGGGGCCCTCAGCACCCCTCAGACTGGCCAGTGTGGGGAGCAGGGAAAGGGTGTCCACCTGCACGCTTGTGCACACGTGTCTCACATGCACATCTGTGCATAGGCGTATGTGTGCATGTGAGTGCAGTTACATGCAGAACCATTGCACACGTGTGCTTACAGAAGGTTATGTGTGCACATGTGAACAGCACTTACAGAGCATGTAGTGAGCATGTGCACACATTCAAGTGCATGCGTGTGCACACGTTTAAAGCTGAGCATGCATGTACACACGTATGTGTGGGCATTATGTGATGAGTGCGTGCTTGGTCTCCTGGAGTCAGGGGGGACATGCACGGAGCAGAGCTTCCCAGAACACTCCGTGGCTGAGATCAGCCGTGTGGCCGACATATGTTGCCAGACGGAGCTGGGGGTGCACAGGAAGCGGATTCCCTTGTTGAAAGCCCGTGTGAGCGAGCTGAGGGGGAGGGAGGCGCCGCTTCCTCTGACTCACACTGGGGTCTGTTTCCAATTACATGTGCTGGCACGGACACGTGTGTGGGGCTGGGGCCCAGGAGCAGCTGTCGGTTGTGGGCTCACCCTCACGTCCTCCAGTGTGGATCCGCATCCTCCAGTGTGGACCGCTCTGCCTCTGTGCACAGTGCCCTATGTCTCTGCACATGTGTTTTGTGAGTCTGTGCACGTGTGATTTATGTGCATACATGTTTTGTGTATACACACTTGTTCTGTGTCTGTGCACACATGCTCGGTGTGTGCACATATTCTCCATATTTGTGCACGTATGCTGAGTCTTTGCACATTTGCTCTGTATCTACATACATGTGCTGTCGGTGCATATGTGCTGAGTCTCTGTGCACATATGTGTTCTATGTCTGTGCACATTTGCTATGTGTCTACATACAGATTCTGTGTCTGTGAACACATGTGCTGTGTGTATGTGCACTGAGTCTCAGTGCACATGTGCTGTGTGTCAGTGCATACATGTTATGTGTCTGTGCACGTGTGTTCTGTCTGTGCATATGTGCCTTGAATCTCTGTGCAAATGTGCTGTGCATCTGCACACATGCTCTCTGTCTGTGTACATGGATTCTATGTCTGTGCATATGTACCCTGAGTCTGTGCACATCTGCTGTGTGTCTACATGCATGTTCTGTGTCTGTGCACACATGTTCTGTATACACACATGTTCTGCTCTGAGTCTCTGTGCACATGTGCTGGGTGTCTGTGCACATGTGCCCTGAATCTCTCTACATATGCTGTTTGTGCACATGTGTTCTGTGTCTGTGCACGTGTGCCCTGAGTCTCTCCATATGTGCCATTGCTGTTCTCTAGCTCACCCACTTTCCTCCTCTCTTCCGACCTGTCAGGCATGTCTGCCGTGTCTCACCTGCGACCCTTTGCCCCCGCTGACCCCTGTCCTCCTTCCTGCCGCTCTCATTCCCTCTGCTCTGCTGTGGTGAACATCCCATTCAGGGCAGGCCTGTCCCCTGCCCCTGCCCCGTCCCACCTCCTATGTCCCACCCCACCCCACGACTCCCGTGTCGCTTGCCCCTTTGCACACGGGTGCAGGCCTGACTCACAGCGCTGGTCTGACCCCTCTCCAGGGTGTGGACTGACACCGTGGGCCACATCCCGACAGTTGGCCCCCACCCTTGCACACAACAGGGGCTTGTGCCTCCGGTGTGACTCGCCAGCCGCTGCCACCCGCTGGCCCTCAGGCCTGACTGGGACAGGGCACGTGTCCCCATCCTCCTTCTCACACCCTCCCTGAAGACCGACTGCTCCCGCGCTGGCAGCCTCCTGGGTGAGTCACGGGGCGAGCTTGCGGCCAGCCTGGCTGCCCAGACCTGGCACCTCCCTGCACCAACGTCTGCGTCCTTTGAAGACAGGGGAGCGGCTTGGGCTGGGACCCGCTGGCAGGGGTGTTTGCGCGGGAAGAATGAGCCATGAGAGAGCCTGGTCACTAATGTCCCATGGAAAAGAGGCGGGTCTCTGCCCCCGAAGCCTCTCCTGTGGTTGGCACACAGTGCCAGGGGTCTGCGTCACCCGCACGGGGTGGCTGGCAGGGTGGGGAACCCCTGAGTCAATGCCTGTTCCCAGCTGTCACGTGTCCCTGCTCCCGTCACTCCTGTGAGCAACCTGGTCGCCCTCTTGTTCCACACGCCTCGAGACACACGTACACATATGAACCACACATACAGGAACAGTGACGCAGTACACATATGCACAATACATGCATACACGTGCAGTGAGGCTGGCAGAAGTGGTGAACCGGGCTGCCTGTCTCACTCTTGGGGACTCCTAGGGCTACCACTGTAGCTGCTGATGCCCCGATCCACACCCCTCTGCATGCCCCTTGCCTCTTGCACCCACATAGGTGCCCGTGCAGCTGTGCTTGGGACATGAACCTCACTGTGGGTGCACATGAGCTCATCAGCCCTCCCCACAGCAACTTTCAGTGAGCCAGTGCTCTGTGACGCTCTGTCATGCTCCATCACGCTCCATCATGCTCCCACACGCTCTGTCACTTTCCATCATGCTTCATCATGCTCTGTCATGCTCCCGCACGCTCTGTCACCCTCCATCATGCTCCATCACACTCTAACATGCTCTGTCACTCTCCATCATGCTTTATCACGCCCTATCATGCTCCCGCACACTGTCACTCTCCATCATGCTTCATCACGCTCTATCA